CTAAAACACAAGTCTGTTGCGATCTTTTCATCGCAAGTCGCATGCATCAATATGCAACACTCCTTTCTCTTGCGAGCTACCGTCGCACTTCGTATGCATCACTATGCACCTACATGTCCTTCTGATGCGACGTCGTATCATGCCATATGCATCGATATGCAACGTGCACTTCTGTTGTGATCTATCGCCTCGCTGCATTCAGATGCATCATGCAGCGTGCCCCTACCATAACGCGACGCATGCATCCTATGATGCGCATTGGCATCGTTATCGAGTCTGTAGCCATTTGGGCTGAAACCATGGCCGCGTCCGCCGCCAGGAAACGCAAGGCGGATGAGGCGCTGGTGGAGCTCCACAGGGGCTCATACCTGTCACAGCGTGCTCTGTCGGGTGTCCTAAAATATGTGCGAGACCATGGGTTGCCCGACAATATTTCACGGAGCTCACAATACAGGGCAAACGAAAACATCATTGCCAAAGAGTCGAACGCATATGGGAACGTCTTGCGTTGCATAGACACGCCTTTAGTCAGTGGTAGAACTTTCGAGAACTGGGTGTGCTGTCCTGGGCCATTTTTGTATTCCTGCTGCAAGGCTAGCGCTCCAGTCAGGGAGATGTTTCGCCGCTCACTTCAGGAGCACCCATGCAGCTTGGCGTCGCCGTGGCACATCATTTTATATTTCGATGGTATTTCACCGCGAGACCCCCTGGCGAAGGGGAAAGATTATCGGGGGGTTGATGCTGTTTACTGGTCGTTCGCTGAGTTCGACGAGTCCTTGGGTAACGAAGATGCGTGGTTCACGCTTAGCACTGCGCGGTGCGCAAAAATAAAAAGCATCCCAGGTGGCATCGGGCAGTGCGTCAAGATGACCCTCAAAGAAGTTTTTTTTTTTTTTTTTTTTTTAATTCTGCTGGTGGTTTCAATTTTGAGACGAGCGGTGTTACATTGGACGTGTCAGAGAACGGCGACGCAACGTCGCACGCGACGATCGTCGCGAAGCTGTCGTGCGTCATAGGGGACGAAGAGACATTGCGGGAACTACACATGAACAAAGGGCACGCTGGTTCCACACCCTGTGCGTTATGTCGCAACGTCTTGGATAGAAAGTTTGATTATTTGACATATGATGTATCTGGTTTCTTTGTGACAGACGCGTGCTTGGATGCGTCAAAGATACGCAGAAACGATGACGCGACAATCATCGCGATCCTGGAACGACTTCGGCCCGATTGGGATAAATATCAGCGGGGGGAGTTTTCAGAGGGGCAGTGCACGACCATCACACAGCACAAAGGATGGAACTTCCACCCCGAACACATAGCGCTGGACCCAGGTTTGCGATATCTCCCTGCGTCATTCATTTGCTTTGACTGGATGCATATTTATTTTGTGTCTGGTATATTCGACAGAGAAGTAAAAGCACTTTTAGGGCATGCGCAGTTCAAGTGTTTGTGTGATGCAATGGAGTTGCATGAGTATTTCATGAAGTGGACGTGGCCGAGTAAACACCACTCAGCCGCAACTGTATGGGAGACTGGTGAGCTCCAAGCAAGTGCCTCAGAAGAGATCTCTGCGTTGCCTGTTTTGTGCAGGTATATTCGGCAAGTAATTGCCATGCATCCTTCATCGGATCAAGTGGCCCCCCAGATCGCAAGTATGCTGGCATTGCAAGATGCCGTTGACATAATCATCGCGGCGGCGCGGCGGCTTCCAGTCACGACCGCGCAGATAGAGTCAGCGATAGTGAAACATCTTCGGTGCCATCAGGACGCATATGGTGAAAGCTATTGGGTGTATAAGCACCATATGGCAACACATTTGCCAGAAATGTTTGAAAAACATGGGTCGCTCAGTTGCTTTGTCCAGGAACGCAAGCACAAAAACGTAAAACGTTTCGCCAAAGACCACATGTGCAAGAAGGGGCCAGAGAAGGCTCTCATGGTCCAACTCACTGCGCAGCACGCGCACGATTTAAAGACCATGCGTGTTTCACCTGGCTTAGTCGACCCAACGAAAGCAACACAGAAGCTGCTGAATGCGTTGAAACGCATGTGCCCTGGGACGCAGACGGCCGTCTCCAGCATCGAAGCCATGACAGATTTCGGCCGCATCAAGCGCGGTGATATCGTACTTCTGGGGTCGGGCGGGATGCATGCAGCAATGCAAGTGTGGTTTCACGTGAAATGCGACGATGGCGAGTCGCAGGTGCTTGTCCAGCAGCTTGCAACTAAGCATGTGAACGCCGCTGAAGGTTTTTCCAGACACATCTTTTTAGATGATACAGACCCTGTTCTGATGCCTCTGACCTCGCTGAAAGCTCCTGTGATTTACAGGAAAATAGAGAACGACATCACGTGCATTTGGCCAGTAGAATACAAATCGCGATGTTGCTAACATGATGCGCTGCGGACCGTCGCGTTTGCCCCAGGACGATAAAAAAATCTGAAGGCCCCTGAGCAGATCCAAATCGACGAAGCGCCCAATCATGATGCCCCAATTTCCAACTACATGAGATGCAAAAACATAACATAAACATTAAAAAAACAGCTTCAAACTGGCCAAACCTAACTAGCTATAACTCCGTTAATAACAATTAGAAGTTCCGCTAACTGTTACTAACTACGCAGGGCCTTCAGGCGCCCTGGACGCCCGGGCGCCGGGATGCCCGGACGGCGCCCAGCCGCCCGGACGCCCGGGCCGCCCGGGCCGCCCGGACGCCCAGAGCGCGCGGCGCCCGAATGCCGGGGCGGCCCAGGCGCCCGGGCGCCCAGCCGCCCGGACGCCGCGGCCGCCCGGGCGCCCCGGACGCCCGGGCCTCCAGCCGCCCAGACGCCGCGGCCGCTCGGGCGCCCCGGACGCCCGGGTGCCGGGATGCCCGGACGGCGCCCAGCCGCCCTGCCGCCTGGACGCCCAGGCCGCCCGGACGCCCAGAGCGCCCGGCGCCCGAACGCCCAGGCGGCCCGGACGCCCGGGCGCCCAGCCGCCCGGACGCCCGGTCCGCCCGGGCGCCCGGACAGCGTCAAGCGGAATTGTGGCATTGTGTCGGGAAACCATGGTCATCATCAGCATCATCATCATCAACCTCATCATCATCGTCGGGACACCATCATCTTCATCATCACCATCATCTCATCATCATATCGTCATCATCAACATCATCAGGATCATCAATATCATCATCATCGGGACACCATCATCATCAACAACATCGTCATCATCAACATCATCATCACCGGGACACCATCATCATCACCACCATCACCATCATCATAATCAGCATCATCAACATCATCATCATCTGGACACCATCATCATCACCACCATCACCATCATCATCATAATCATCAACATCATCGACATCATCGACAACATCGACATCATCATCATATCATCATCATCATCATCATCATCATCATCATCATCATCATCATCATCATCATCATCATCATCATCATCATCATCATCATCATCGGGACACCGACGGGACACCGGCGGGGCACCGTCGGGACACCGCGCGCCACAGACCCCTGGAGAAGAATCATTTGGTCCGGCCGCACCTCAGCCGGAGGCGGGACACCGGCGGGACACCGCGCGCCACTGGCCCCCGGAGAGGAAACATTTGGTCCGGCCGCGCCTCAGCCGGAGGAGACTTTCTCGCCCGCCAAGGCAGCTTCGCCTCGCCCGCACGCGCGGCACGCACGAACACTTAACCGAAACTGATTTCCCGGTAGGGGGGCTCTCCGTTCCACTTCGATCTCACCCCCTCCCCTCCGATATATATATATATATTATATATATATATATATATATATGTATATATTACATATATATATATATCAGTGTATATATATATGTGTGAAGAGAGAAAAGGAAAATGGAGACCAAGCGATAGAGCCAGGGAGTATGGATGATCATACCATAGATGCCGACATGCAGACTCGAAACGATCCACCGCCGCACTATGTCGCGACTTGCGTGCGTGCGTGCGTGCGCGCGTGCGCGCGCTGTGTGTATGTATGTGTGCGTGCGTGTGTGCGTGCGTGCGTGCGTGCGTGCGTGCGTGCGTGCGTGCGTGCGTGTGTGCGTGTGTGTGTGTGTGTGTGTGTGTGTGGTGTGTGTGTGTGTGTTTGTGTGTGTGCGTGCGTGCGTGCGTGCGTGCGTGCGTGCGTGCGTGCGTGTGTGTGTGTGTGTGTGTTTGTGTGTCTGCGCCCTACTCCGCCTCGTCGCTGCGAGCGAGGCCGCGACCGCCGAAAAGTGTGTGTGTGTGTGTGCTGAGCACCACGTTGCGTTGTTAGTCCTACCCCTGGCCTGGCACGAACATATTGTCACCACGCCTCATAGAGGCTGGCATGGTGCTTCGGATACTGTGTGTTGTTGGCCCTTCGTAAAGGACATGGCGCCACAGCCGAAAACAATTGCCCCTCGTACTCTCCCATCCACCCCCGAGCCCCACCCAGGGCGCGGTGTGGAGACCTGGGAGGCAGCAAAACCTACAATCTGTATGTGTACGTACATACACACATACGTACATACATCCATCCATCCATCCATACATAGATACACGTATTTCTTGTTGCGTGCAAATGCAACGATTGAGGAGGGAGGCCGGGGGAGAGAGAGAGAGAGAGAGAGAGAAAAAAAAAAGAAGAGGATAGAACGAGATACCTAGAGAGAGAGGGAGAGAGAAACACTAAATAGAGTGTGTACATGACGGCCGAGCACGGAGAAACGCAAACAAGGGAATGGGGCAGCAAGATGATTCAATCTCTGTGACGCAGTGACGAGACATGTAGCCACATTTGATCCATATGGAAGGTCATACACAGTAAGAGACAGAACGAGAGAGGGAGAGAGAGAGAGAGAGAGAGAGAGCGAGAGAAGCAGAGAGAGAGAGAGAGGAATAACTAACAACAAACTGCAAGACGCGAATGCGCAGTGGAAATGCCACATTGACGCTCCGCAAACGGTGCCTCCGCTCATCCCGCAACATCGGCGGGCCCTATCTGTACCCAGGAACTGGGAATCCATGCATAGCTCCTTCCCGCCCTGCTGTCGCAAGATACCATGAAGCAAAGGAGAACGGGACTGGCGCGCGGGGAACCTCAAGAGGACGGGACTGGCGCGCGGGAGCCACCAGGCGCAGAAGTTCGGATCAGGCTCTGCAGTGCACGATGATCACGACGGCACTGGCGACACCGACGGCACTGGGGACGCATCGCAAGATCGGGGGCGCTGACAGCGGGCAAGCCGCGCTCTCGAGGAGCGCTGCTGAGTAGGATGGGGAAGGTAGGGCACGGATAGAAGAGCGACGTGGACGGGGGGACATGACGACAGATGGGGCAAATTTTGCCCCATCTGTCACCCATGTCCTCCTACAGGCGGCTTTTGGAAGGAAACTTCAGCATAGTCCAAAATAAGAAACCATTCCAAACATTGTAAAACAAAATCGTCCCAGACTACCCCAATCAATGCTTGCACTGAAGGAGTCCTAGCGGAAATTCCCCAATCGGTGCTTGCACTGAAGGGGTCCTAGCGGAAATTGAAAGAAATGCGAAAAATCCCCGCTGATTTTGGTGGCAGGCGGTCCCGGGTTCCCGGTGATTGGTTCCAGGCCGACTTCGGTGCTGGGTTCTGGGTTCCGGGGCTCCCGGGTCGGGTTCCTGGTCGATCTCTTCAGCGATAACCCGGACATGCGACGTCCTGATTTTTTCAGGACGGCGTCCCCGGAAGTCCCGACCATTTCCCCTGGACCGGTTTTTCATCCTGATTCGTTTTTTGATGGTCCCGAGGCCCGGCGAGGGCCCCACGAGGCCGAAAACGGCCGAAAACGCGCTGTCCTCATTTTTTGTACGACGCGATCATGTCTGGGAACCATCCACTGATTGGGCTTTCTCTGGTGTCATTGAAAATTTTTGCGAAAATTTCCCGCCGATTTTGGTGGCCGGCTGGGTTCGCGTGTTCCCGGGTTCCTGGTCGATCTCCTTATATCGATCTCCTTATCGATCTCTTGATCGATCCCATTTCAAACCATCCACTGATTGGGGTTTCCTCTGGTGTAATGACTACTCTTGAATATTCCTTCTGAAGAGGGTCAGGCCCGACTTAAGGCACAGGAGGGGTGAGATAAATGGGTGAAAACGAAAGGGAGGAGGGCGAGGGTCAGGGGCTTAGACAGAACGCTGGGGGAGAGGAGGAGGAGGAGGAGGAGGAGGAGGAGGGGCAAGAAGTTGCTGGATGGGGGGCGAACAAGAGAGCACGGGTAGATACGTTGTTTGGTCGCGAGGGGAAGAGGAAGGGGGGAGGAGAACGGGGGGCAGAGACAGAGCGAGAGGACACCTGGGGGAAGGGAGGGGGGGGGGAGGAGGGAAGAGACGGGTGAGGCAGAGGCGGAGCATGCTCACCAAGGACCCAGGCGAAGCAGAAGGGGGATGCGGGCGAGGAGGAGGAGGTGGACGAGGAGGAGGGGGGAGAGTAATGGGAGAGGGACATGCTACCCGTCCCAACCATTACTTCCGATTGCATTGAATGTTCGATCCACCGAAAGGTGTCCTCGCGGACCTGGAGTCCTCAAATGACCCCATCGCGTGATGCGCAATCAGGCAAGGGAGGTAAATAGGGGAACAAAAAGTGGCATAAACATAAAAACTCTGAGGTCCGCGCGGATTTCTCGGATCGACGCTGGGGCCCCCCGGCGGCGCCTCCAGCACCGCCCCCTGGCGCGCTCCGCGCGCCAGGAAGGGGGGTCCAGCGCCGATCCGAGAAATCCGCGCGGACCTCCGAGCTGTTATGTTTATGTGACTTGCTGTTCCCCTAGTAAAGAGTAGGAGGTGCCAGATGACCATGAGGATGCGCAGGAGGAAAAGGACGATAGGGAAGGAGGAGGAGGCAAAGAAGGAGCAGGAGCAGCAGGAGCAGGAGCAGGAGCAGGAGGAGCGGGAGGAGCAGGAAAACCAGGGGAGCGCAGAGGATGGAAAATTGAAATGACCAGGGGAGTATTCGGAAACCAGGGGAACACCATAGCCTGCGAACCAAGGGTCGGCTACACGCAAGAGCGACGCTTGGCAAGGGTGACCTATGGTGCGCGGCATCAGGGGGCCGCGGGGAGGCCAAGCGGGAGCAAGCAGGACGATGCTCGGAGACCCCTTAGAGCGTCGCGATTGGTTTCGCGATGTGGAACCCCCAATAGGACTTGGACCAATCCCTCATCCCAAGTCGTTTCCCTGGGCCCCTCGAAGACCACGAAGGCAGAGAACCAACGAGAACCTCATGCCGGGGATTTTTTCCACGACGCGAGGAAGTATGGGCCCGACACGTAGCCGAAGCAGGCCACTTTGGCGAAGCATCACTCCTCACCGCGCAGCCGGCCCCCTGCCCTTACCCCCCCTCCGCGCGCCATCCTCCTCCTCCTCCTGCCTCCCCCCCCCTCATCCTCCTGCCTCCTCCCCCTCCTCCTCCTCCTCCTCCTACTCCTCCTCCGCCTCCTCCTCCTCATTATCCTCCTCCTTCTCCTCCTCCTTCTTCTTCTTCTTCTTCTTCTCCTCCTCCTCATCATCATCATCAGCATCACCAACACCATCACCATCAACTACACTACCACCGTCATCATCAACAACACCATACCATTATCACATTGGCCACCATAAGCACTATCACCACCATCATCATGAGCATTCTCATCCTGATCAGCATCACCCCCCAGACTCCCCCCCCTTCCGTGCGCCGGGTGGACCGGGGCGTACAGGTGCGTAGGCGGCTGCCCTGTCCCCGCGCCCGAGCGCGCGCAAGCTGTCGGCTGGCCAGGACCGATACCATTGGAGAATTACTGGGTGTTGTTCGGTCGCGATCGGAAACCATCAGCAGGCACTCCAAATCGGTCGCGACCGATCGCGACCAATTCCGAAGTCGGTCGCGACTGGTCACGGAATTTGAGGCAACATCGGTAGCGGCCAATCTCGTCAGTCGCGAGCAAATGAGTATTCTAGTATCCCGTGATCAGGAGAGGAAGGCTTGGGCGGGGGCCACGGGAGGCGTCTTTCAGGGGCAGGCCGACGGTGAGAGGCGGGGACTTCTCCCCACATCGGAACAAGCCGAACGTCTGTGCTCTATTGCGACCTCCACAGCCCGTCTTCGGGTCCCGGGGCCATCAACCAGCGGCTCCGGGCTGAAAAACTTCCTCGGATTGAACACTCACATCGGAGGATGCCGTGGCCCATATCCACCGCCCGTAAAACCGATGTCCTGGAACGACATCCTGAGACCCCGGGGGGCGGTATTCGAATTCCTGGGGCCCGAATATGCCCATGTCCACTGCCTCACAAGGTCCGAGAGGATCGGGTGCCTCAGCGGTGGATCAGGGAGAAGGGATAAGGAAGAAGAAGATCCATCTTCGATCTTCGATAATCCTCCTCTTCCTCCTCCTGCACTCAACTTCCTCCCCCTCCTCCTGATGGATGCGGCCGGGAAGGGAAAGGAATGAGCACTGGGAGGCGCAGGATGGCAGATGTGGCGCCAGCGCACGCATGTCCTCCTCCCCATCTCATTCCTCCACCTCCTCCTCCTCCTCCTCCTCCTCCTCCTCCTCTTTCTCCTCCTCCTCCTCCTCCTCCCCCTGCTGGAGGTGGAAGGCGGATTGGGGGGAGGGGAGAAGGAGGAAGGAGTGCGGAGCCGGAGGGTGGGGGGATATGGGGGGAGGATAAGAAGGGAGGAGAATCGAGGGGGCATCAGGGATGGGGGAGGTAATCAAGGAGGTGGGCGGGTGAGAGGCAGGGGGGGGGAAGGCGAGTGGGGTAGAGGAGAGGGATTATGCAGGGACGAGGTGGGGAGGACGGGGACGGGAAGAATGATGATGAGAAGTAGTGGGAGGAAGAGGGATAACAAAGCAATTCCCGGGAGGGGGGGGGCAGGAAGGCGGGAGAGCGAAGAAGGCTCAGGGGAGTTGGGGGGAGCCCGAGAGGGGAGGAGCCCAAGACTATGAGGCAGATGACTGGGGGGAGGGAGGATGTGTAGGAGAGGGGGTGGGAAGACGAGGACATCAGCGACGATTCCATGGCGGCCTTACCCGCGGCGTACGCGGGCAGCCAGCGCGGCGCGCCACATTGGACGCGAGGGCATTCACGCGCGACCTTACACGGACAACTTACGCGCGAATGTCCGCGCAATCCAACGCCTTTTTTCTCCGTCGCTCCCACAGAGATGAAGGATGGAGGGAAGGGGTGGAGGGATCCAACCCCCGTGTTGCACAGGGGGGCCCGAGAGGGGAGCCCGAGAGGGGAGCTCAGGGGAGTTGGGGGGAGCCCGAGAGGGGAGGAGCTCAAGACTATGAGGCAGATGACTGGAGGGAGGGAGGATGTGCAGGATGAGGGAAGGGGTGGAGGGATCCAACCCCCGTGCTGCACAGGGGACAGAGCGTGACCAGTCCCGTGCAGCAGCGCGTCTCGCTGCACAGCGGAAGGGGCGGGGACGGACCGACGCGGCGATGGGGAAAGCGGAGCGAGGGACGAAGGAAGCGTAACAGAGAAAGACGGGAAAAGGTCATTATTAGAGGAAAGAGAACTATGCACATGCACCGATTCTGGCCAGACCCATCCTGAGCCCATGATCGGTGCATACGCCCTCCTGCCTTTGCCAGGAAGGCATATGCACCGATCCTGGGTCAAGGATGGACCTTGCCAGGATCGGTGCATGTGCATAGTAATCTTCGCCAGAATTAAGGGGCAGGCGGCGGGAGGGGAAGGGGAGCGCAGGGGAGGGGAAGTGAGGAAGACAGGGCGGTCCACGGGCTGGGGAGATGAGGAGCTGCGGCGGAGAAACGCGGGAGAAACGGGCGGGTGCGTGAAAAGCAGCCATCCGCACGATAATATATATATATATGTATATATACATATATACACACTAATAATAAGAGCAATGGTAATACAACCAACTACAAATAGTAACATCCAGGTATACTTTAACATTCTATGAAACATATGAAACAGTACGGCGCATAGCACATATCATAAAGAGGGGGCCGAGCGGTCATTTCTTGTCCCTGGGTGCGTGGCTGAAGGAAGAATCCGTGGTGAGGAGTTGCTTGTTGCATTGTTGTTGTGGCTGTTGTTGTTGTGATTGTTATTGTTGCCGGTGTTGTTTTTGTTGCTACTGTTGTTGTTGCTGCTGTTGTTGTTGTTGAACACTATTACTTCTAAAGAATTATTATTGTTGGACCCCCTGGTGCACGCCCCCCGCCCAAAACCTGGGCCGCAGCTACATTTTCATCATTTTTCTGCGAAAGCTTCAGAAAAGTGGATTACCCCCGGATCCGGTTTTTTGTTGACGCTCGTTTTCCCTTGCAAAAAACAATAGAAAATGAAAATTCTTGTTCTTAGTTGATCAAATTTCAAGAATCCCTTGCAAAAAATAAGGTAAAGTGGACATTCGCGCTCGCAAGACGAAATCCTTCCAAAACCTTAGGTTTCGTAGCGATTTTAACATAAAAACATCAAAAACCCAATGGTTTTTTAAGAAAAAATTGTCAAAATGTCCTTCCGCGCGCTCTTGCGGATTCATAGGAAACACACCACTTTTTAAACATTTCTGTCAAAAGGGTCTTTGCGTGCTACTTCTTCAGGTGCTTTGAACTTCTCCAACAACGGTTGCGCGCCTGCGAGGGCCACCATCCCTTGCAAAAAATGAGACGAAGTGCACATGCGCGCGGCCGCCGCGCGCGCATGTCGAAATCCTGCCAAACACAATGGGTTTTCAATAATTTCAAGATGCGATGTTCAGAAAACATATGAAAACGCACTACTTTCTCATCCGAAAAATCTCGAAATCCATTCGCGGTCTCTTGATGAATCTTTAAAACCCAAGATGGCCCCAACAGGCGCGCAAGATGGCCCCAAGAGGCGTCCATGAGGCCCAAAGAGGCGCCCAAGATGGTCCCAAGAGGCTTCAAGAGGACTCCAAGAGGCCCCCAAGAGGTTCCAGAGAGGCTCCAAGGTGGCTCCAAGAGACCCCCAAGATGGCCCCAGGAGGCGTTCTAGAGGCCCCAAGAGTCCGCCGTGAGGGTCCAATAAGCCCCCAAGAGGCCCCAAGATGGTTCCAAGGAGCCCCCCAAAGGCTCTCAAGTGGACCCCAAACCGCGCCAGGAGGCTTCCCCCCTTCCCCAAGAGAGCCGCACGGCTCTCATTGGGCATCTGGGACCGCACGGGTATCAGCCAGGCCCGCACGTGTATCAGCCAGGCAGCCGGGCACCCACGCGCCCGCTCCGCGCCATCGCAGACGACGATGCGTCGCGCCTTTAGTATGCTTCTGGATGCGAAGACCATTCGGTTGAGTATACCCCTACGTGTGACTGGACCTGTTTGCGAAAGCAGGAGAAAGTATGGCACCCCTTTGTGTCCAGAGCCGCGCCGTCTGCGTTCTTCCTTTCTCGCTTCTCTCCTTTCCTCCTTGTCCTGCTCCTCCTCCCCCTCTTCCGCCTTGGAGCCGTATTGGAACTGTCGATGGCCATCTCCCTTTCTCCCTCGCATGTCTGCTTGTACATACGTATAATTTCAGAACTTACCGTGCATGCGATCGTTTACAACATGGTGGACCGTGCGTATGTCACGAACCTTGTATACATGTGTTTCTCTCCCTCCGTCTGGCTGTGCACGCGCGCGTTGGGCACTGAGAGTTAGGATCATAGCGCCATGAGTCTATGAGCAATGCATGCGTCATCCTTGGGACTGTATAACATCAGTGTAACACATGTACTTCTGTAATCGCATCCCCACGAATTTGCCCCAAAAATGTGACCAACTATCTTGGCACTGCGTACCATCTCACGTGTACCGTGTACCACATCATATGTAACAGATGTGATCAACCTCTGTGGGTGTGTACCCCACGCCAGTGTAGTAGCCAGGGTCGTCCGCACGCCACGAAGTGAAGTGTCCCAACGTCATAGGGCGGGAAGCTGGGTGTGGGTGGTCTCGAAGAGTCGTTTGGATATTTGGTAGAGCTTGAACGGCCCCCCCACGAAGTGGGGGTATTGGCTGGTGTCGCAAGAAAACCCTGGCACTGGGGAGAACACTGAGCGTTCGGGTAAAATGATTGTTGTTGTTGTTGTTGTTGTTGTTGTTGTTGTTGTTGTTGTTGTTGTTGTTGTTGTTGTTGTTGTTGTTGTTGTTTGTTGTCGTGCTCTTCCCGCGACCCACCCGCGAACCACCCGCGACCTACCCCGCGACCCACCCCACGACCCACCCGCGACCCACCCGCGACCCACCCCGCGACCCACCCCGCGACCCACCCGCGACCTACCCCGCGACCCACCCCGCGACCCACCCCGCGACGCACCCCGCGACCCACCCCGCGACCCACCCCGCGACCCACCCCGCGAACCACCCCGCGACCCACCCCGCAACCCACCCAGCGACCCACCCCGCGACCCACCCGCGACCCACCCGCGACCGATCCACATTGGCTTGAAGAAAAAATCGACGCTTGCGGCGGGCTCGATGTATAATGTGTGGAACTTTGGCGCCTGCGGCGGGCTTCTCCAGAGTCTCGCAGACTGCCGACGCTCCCACCGGCCCTCACTCTTATCCACATCTGCGGGGTGCTACGAAAAATAATACACATGAGTCAGCAATAATACTACTTTTCGTAGACGCTAGAATATCTCTCTATATATATGTATATAAAATATAGATACACAAAGAGAGAAAAAAAGAGAGAGAGAGAGAAAGACACAGAGACAGAGAGAGAGAGAGAAGCGCGATGCCCCCCAGACGCCCCCAAAGAACCCGCACGCGCGAAGCTACAGCGTCGGCCGCGCCCTCGACACGCGCACGGGCGAGTGCCAAGCCGTGCCCGCCCCCCGCCGTGGAAGACCGAGGGGGGTCGAGGGGAGACGACGGCACTGGGCCGCACTGGCGACATCACCGTCGAACCTCACCGGCCAGGAGGAGGAGGAGGAGGAGGAGGAGGAGGAGGAGGAGGACGGGGAGGAGGGGGAGGAGGGGGAGGAGGGGGAGACTGGACCGCACTGGCGGCATCACCGTCGAACCTCACCGCCCAGCTCTGCCTCTCCAGGGGGGATGGGGGGGGGCGATGCCAGTTTGGCGCGGAGCCGCGCGGCCCACGAGACTCTAGCACCGCGCCGGGGCCCAAACTTCCCGTCCGCGCGCCGCCCAGACCTGTGCGGCCGTTTTGGACGCACGCGCCAGTAATGTCTAAACATAAAATTTTGAAAAGCGATCCGGGGGGACAATTTGACGAATAAATTTTCGCAGAGATGTAGTGCGCATACAAACACCAAGACGAACGCGGGGCAAACCGGACCGCCGGAGACGTCCCCACGACCGCCCTGGCGCTCTGCGTTCAGGGGCAGATTTCTGCGTACCCCCTCTTGGCATCAGGCCACGCCTGCCACGCCCTGCGACCCTGGCGTGGAGGTCGCGAAAGTGCTACACCTGACACGCCCTGCAACCTGGAATGGATCGAGACCGCGCTCAAGGACCTCTCCTTGCACATCCTCGCTGGTGCCAAGAAGATGCTGCGCCAGCCTTGCCCTGCGACCCTGACGTGGACAGAGACCGCACTCGGGGGCCATCCCTTGCGCACCCCCTCCGGTGCCGAGAGGGCCCCAAAGTGGGCTCCTAGATGACCCCAGCTGCGTTAAGATGGCCTCCGCGATGCCGTAAGATGGTCCAACCTAGCTCAAGATGGCATCCCAGATGCCTCCAACAGGCCCCGCGATGGCCCCAAGACGGGTCCAAGTGGCCGCGGAGACTCCCAAGGAGGCCCCCAAGAAGCCAAACTCCGACCATAACCTAAGAAGGAACTCGATGGTTTTGGCCACCTCGCCATTTCGCTTCCGATATCAATCGCATCTCTCGGTCTCCGTGGAGTATGTTTCAGGGGGTCGGCGGTGAAGTAATGGGCCATTACTTCGCCGCCCTGGATCCATGGGTGTCATCACTTTTGTAATCATGCTTTGGACATTACAGGGCGGAGAGGAGTAGATCTGCAGAGGAGGGGAGAAGAGAAGGACGCACGGGAAGAACGTCGGCAAACAACACAAACATCGAGAACCGTGTGCACCTCATTCTGCGGACACCCCCCCTTCCTCGTTAAAGAAGGCTGTCATCTGCTGAAGCACGAATGCTGCAACGGAACCTACTATCAACGCGCACCGCAGCGAAGACAAAAGATGCATAACGCGCACAATATAAAACCCAAATCATGCAGAAGACAGGACATCCGTGCGAACTCAGAAAATGAAAATTACCGACATCGCTACTCCCCAGACCTCTCCTAGGGTGCGTTCTGACTAGGCCTTCGCGGCGAATGCAAGAGGGCCTCCCGAAGACCTAAAACGGCGAACACGAGGCAAGGGTAGCGGTATCGGCACCCAGTCCTCATTTGACGAACGAGCTGGTCGAAGTGGTCGGGGCCAGCAATGGCACCGCAAGCCTACCGAATCGAACGGTGCCGCAGATAGATCAGGCCTTGCCCCGATCCCCCTCGAGAGCCTGGGCGCCTGCAGAACCGAGACTGGCCAGCGAGATCGCGTCGGGCTCGCGCGGACCACTGAGATCGAGGCGAGGCGTCCTCCGAGCGAGGCTCGAGCGGACGCTCGACCACAGAAATTGAATCGTGCGTCCTGCTCGTCACGCCTCCTGCAGTTCCCCATCCTGCTGTCTCCTCCTTCTCCTTCTACATCCTGTGCGCTGTCATCCCCCTCTCGATCCATGTGTGCGACTTCTCGTCCGCTTTTTCCTCCTCATCCGCCTCCTCGCATCCACCTCGCCATCCTCCTCTACCTACCCACCATTCTCCCTCAGACTCTTCTTTGTCGTCGTCGTCGACACACACTTCTCATTTTGATTGTGATCGTCTCTCCTCCTCCTCCGCCGCCCTTTTCTCCCTGCTGCTCTCAACCTGCTCCTCCTCAGCTTCGGGCTCCCACTTCCCTTCCGAATCTCCCTCCGCCGCATCCAACTCCTCTGAGCCGCCACCGCGCCCTGAGGCACGAGTTGGAGTGTCCTCAGGTCCCCTGGGGCCCTCCTTCCTTCCTGTACCGAAACGTCACTGAAAAGCCCGGATCCGAACATCACGCCGAGGCGCGTTCCAGCCCTAGTCTCTCGGAGCCGGGAGGACCCCGCAGTGGCCCCAGAGGGCTCCGAGAGGCCCACGACGGCCCACGATGCCCCCCCTTCCAGACGGCGAAGAAGCCCCCAAGACGCCCCAAGAGAGCTCCGAGGGCACTCCCAGGAGGGCCCGAGAGGGTAAAGGCAACGATGCTCCGAGAGCGGTTGAATGATTTTAGCGTTCTCGCCTCTTCGGGCTCTCGACTTTCCAAGACTGGCCAGCCCCCCAAATCGTCCCAAGACGGCCCGAGGCCCGGCAACTTCCGTCGTGCTTTTGTTTCCAACTGTTCTGTGGTGTTGGGTCTTCGTTTGGGAAAGACAGCGCCCCGCGTCCTCTCCTCATGCTACTCTCCTCCTCACCCTCCTCCCTCCTCCCATCCCTGTCTCTGCCCTCCGTACGTCAACCATTTCGGCGAACTACTCACACGTCTCGTGGCCCCACAACGAGATCCACCGAAGGCACCAGAGGCCGCGTTCGCATGTGGCTTCCCGCCCACCGCATGTCCATTGCGGTACAGCCTTCACACGTTTCGTGGTCGTGGCCCCAAAAAGAGATCCACCGAAGGCCCCAGAGGCCGCGTTCGCACGCGACACCCGACTACCGCATGTCCACTTCGGCACACCCCTCTCACTCTTCGTGGCCCCAAGAGCTCCACCGATGGCCCCAGAGGTCGCGTTCGCATGCGGCCCCCCGACCACCGCACGTCCACTTCGGCACACCCCTTACACGCTTCGTGGAATCGTGGGGAGTTCCACCCGAAAGCCCAAGCGGCCGCGTTCGCATGCGGCTCTCCGCTCACTCTATGCCACTTCCGGTGCACCCCTCACACGTTTCGTGGACTCATGGGGAGCTCCAGCGAAGGCCCCAGCAGCCGCCTTCGCATGCAGCCCTCCGCCCACCGCATGTCCGTTTCGGCACACCCCTCACACGTGTCGTGGCCCCATACGGAGCTTCACCGAAGTCCCCAAAGGGAGCGTTCGCATGTGGGCGTCACGCACATGTAGGGGCACCCTTCTCACGTTTCGTGGCCCCACATGGGAGCTCCACCGAAAGCGGCAGAGGGAGCGTTCGCATGTGGTCGTCCCGCAAATTTCGGCACACCCCTCGCACGTTTCGTGGTCCCATGGGGAGCTGCGTCGAAAGCCCCAGAAGGAGCGCTCGCATGTGGGCGTCACGCAAATTTCGGCACACCCCTCACGCGTTTCGTGCTCCCATGGGGACCTGCGTCGAAAGCCCCAGAAGGAGCGCTCGCATGTGGGCGTCACGCTCATTTCAGCACACCCCTCACGCGCTTCGTGCTCCCATGGGGAGCTCCGCCGAAAGCCCAAATCGCACGGTCCGCATTCTGCCCCACCCCTCTCACCCAATTTCGGTATGATCCTCGCGCGCTACATGGCCCCCATGGGGAATCCACAGAAGGTCATACTCACAGCTGCGGGACTTCGTCAAGATGTTGAGACTTCTCACTGCAGATGGTTGGGTCCTTCGCCAAGATAATTCTACGACTCGAGCCTAGACCCCCGACGTCATGTTTTTTCCGCTACGTCGACACCCCGAGGTCTCGACCCTTTCCCTGGGACTGGTTCTCCGTCCTGAGTCGTCTTTATGACGGTCCCGAGGCCCCCCCCCAGAGGCCGAGAATAGCGCAAAACCTCCCGTCGTGGTCTTGTTCCTGCCTCGACCCCGTATCCTTAGGCGCCCGAGTTATCCGGGGTAATCCGGGCCCGGGGTAACTCGGGTTTGGATTCCCGAAAAACGAACCCGAGTTAGCCCTGACCCGAATTATCCCTGATGATTTGGGGCTCTGGATGCCCGAGTTATCCGGGGTAACTCGGGCCTGGGGCAACTCGGGTTCGGATTCCCGAAAAACGAACCCGAGTTAGCCCTGACCCGAGTTACCCCTGATGATTCGGGTCTCTGATATCCTGGCTCTGCCCTCCTTCCCACCCCCCGGGGCCGCTCCCTGCAGCGGCGGGGGCGGCCCATAGGCGCTGCCAAGCAGGTGCGGCCGCGGCGCGCCAAAGGGCACCGGCCCGGGGCCTCGCGTGCGCGGCCGCCGCCGCCGCCACCCCCAGGCAGCGCCGCCGGTCCCCAAGCCGAGGCTAGAAATCGGCGGCGAACCCGGACACTCCGCGCCGAGTGAAGGGCGCGGGGGAGGGAGTGAACGAACGAAGGGCGCGGGGGAAGGGCGCGGGGGAGGAGGATGAGGAGGAGGAGGAGGAGGAGGAGGAGGAGGAGGAGAAGGAGGAGGAGGAGGAGGAGGAGGAGGAGGAGGAGCTATGGCGCTATGGCGAAAGCGCGGATCCCGAGTGCTGGCTCGGCCGCATCAAACACATCACTCACGAGGGAACGACATTCCCGACTTTGGCGGGAGCCCTCTCGCAAGCCGATCAAGCACCTCCGACCCAGTGCGGGTAGGAGGCGCACACGGCCCCCGCAGGCCACGGACACTTTGGGCCGCAAAACGCCCACAGGTTGAGCAATACAAAATGCCACTCAACACGGACAAGGAATGGGTCCCGTGGCAGTGGATGGCCAGTGGGTGAGCGCCAGCACCCTCCACAGCAGGGCCCAAAACGGGGCCAGGAACCGGAACCTCATCCTCGCCCTCACTCGGTGGCGCAGCGAAGCGGGCAAAGCGGCTGCCCTGGCACTGATCAGGCCAGAAAGAGGCCAGCATACCACGTGAGCTAAACTTGCAGTGGCACAGGTTGCACTTGATCAGCGCGCGGAGCACAACAGGGCAATGTCCCTTCGCACGCACACGCACGACACGCTCTTGCGCGAAGGACCGCCCGCCCCTCCGTCGCACGTGCTGGGGACCCTCATCACGCCCAACGCGCGCGTACACGCTGTCACGAGCACAAGTGGTGAACACATCCCGCTGGATGGCGACGAGCCGCCTGAGAATAGAAATATGCAGCTCATCTTGCAACAAGGTGCGTGCCGAGCACGTTTCCGAGACCTCGGCCCTCTTAGCGGCCTCGATAGCACATGCGTCAGCAGCACCATTCAAAAGGCGCTCGACTCGAGTGAGGTAGAGGGCACTGACTTGGGTTTCCGTGGGGTGGCTTTTTGTCCATCTGAGGTCAACATCAACCTCACGTTGATCCAGAACTTGCCAGAGAACCACTCACAGATCAATCATATCACAACCACATAAGGCCGCTCGCGGCCTACGGAAACCTCGCGCCACAGGAAGGTAATCACAGAAAATCAAAACTCTGCCCAAGGATATCTGAGTACGAAAATCAGCGCGAGCAACTCCGCGCGCGGGGACGACTGGCCGGGGCCTGGGAGGGCGCCTGCAAATCCACCATCAATATCATCAAGGGTGGTGGACAGGCGCACGCACGCCCACCCGCACCTCCTTAGTCTGGCATCCTTAGCAAACCTCCCCCCCGATCCGTCGATCCCCCAAACTCCTCCTTCCTTCGCCTCACGATCAGCGAACGAACCCCGGAACCAGGTGCGATCCTGCGGGTCAGGAAGATGCCCAGTGGTGCGATCAAGCGGCATGAGCCCGCGGCACCAAAGAGCTGGAAAATCATCCTGAGCAGCACGCTCAGCAAGGTGGGCCGAATCAGCCACCGTAGTATCAGGATTAAACTCATTCATGGGGCACTCCCAGAAGCGGTGGTACGGGGTCTCCATCTTCTCGCCGCACCGAACACAGATGCCTGCAGCAGAAGTGTCATAGCCTGCATGGTGAAGCCGTGCTTCAGTCCAGAAGCCCCCCGATATGGTATTCAGTAGGATGGACTGCCCTTCATAATCAAACTCTCTCCCCATCCTCTGGTACTCCTTCCGAATACAAGTAAAATCAACTCCTCCTTCAACACCTCCCCCTAAGCAGCGCTCAGAAGCCTTGCGGCAAATCAAGGCGTCACACGTAAGTTGAATAGAGCGGCGGAGGTGCACACGGAAATCTGGCTGGGCCAACTGGAGCAGCACGCCCCGATCGTCACGCCAGCGAGCAGGAGAGAGAGGCCGCCATCCTGGATCGAGTAACACTTCAATCGTGGCCGCCACTAGGCCACGCACACGTCGCCAAATCAGATTAGCAGGTATGGTGGAGTACTCATGCACCTGACTCCTCCACAGCACGGCAACTTTCATTGTGGACTCGGGATCCAGAGAGGCCCAAGCAGAAGCAAAACCTTCCAGGTGTGCACGCCGAAGTCGGCAGATGGGGTCACTCCGAGGTCCTCCGAAGGTCCCAAGAATGGTCGTAGAACAGGCCCCCGCATGCCAAGCACCAGAGCACACAGCGGCCTGGCCCCGAACGTTCTGGACCTGAATCGGAGAAAGACCAACCACTCGGTGCCCCCAGGTCCCCCCGGCCAAAACACCAGGTTTATACAACTTCGAGGCCTTCTTCACCAACTTCGTTAAGTACCTAACTTTGCGAGCCTTCTGTGCTGCAACACGCCTACGCTTTTTGATGATGTCCACAGCGCGCCGCTTGCCGGCAGTAGTCGAGGTCCCTAGATCACGGGTAGCACTTGCCAACTTCAACTTAAAGCCAGCTGCCCTGATCTCATTGAAAAGCAAGAGCGCAAGCGGCTGATTGTTGCCAGCAATAGCCGACTTATCAGACAGAATCAGCTCCACTGACCCGAGAGAGTGGCCGAAGTGGACAGCAGCAGAGAGTAGCTGTCGGCGGACCTCATCCGCACTGCCTTGGGCCACCTGTGACAAGTCATCGACATAAGAACGAGTGGATGCTCCAGGGTGGCACCGATGATGCACATCATGAAGGATCTGGCACAGATAGACCTTCACCCAAGACATGGATTGCATACACCCTGGGAGCACACCAATGCCAGAAGCAATCACCTCAGAACAGAACCCATTGGACTCCAGCATTCGAGGGGCCACGTGGATCAGGAGCCCGAGGTAGAGCAGGTGGGGCGGGAAATCCAAGCGACAGGCCAAAGAGACTAGCCGCGCTGGTACCACCGTGTCGAAAAACTTAGCGAGGTCCCAGTGCACGGCCACGCCCATGCCCTTCGAACATAGCAACCTCATGGCAGATCTCCCTCCGAAGCGCCGCCGGCAACGCAGAGCTCCCTCTGACAGCATCATCCCAGAAATCCAAATGGCCCTGGGACCAGTCCTCCAAGAAAACCCCTCGGATCTTGCAGTAAACCCGATAGAGGGTGGGGCACTTACACACAGGGCGCTCATCGGTGGCGCTTTCCGGGAGGAGGGCGATGATTCCCAAGAAAATCTGAGAGGGCCACATCATAGCCCGTTCACACGAGGTGTAAAGCTCAGCAAGGGCCCCAAGGGCCTGGGGATCCAAATGGAGAAAATCACGGGGCCTCCAGCGGCCCACACCGACAGCAGTGGTTTCAGAGAAAATACGGCTAGCAGCAAACACCTCCCTAGGCTCAATATCGGGGAGCTCAGGGGCCATCTCAAGGGCCTGCGCGCGAAGCTCATCCAACGCCCCCCCCCAAGCAACTCGATTTGGGATGGGCTGGCCGCCCAGAAACGGCTCCACTTCTTAGTGCGGTGTGCCATCATTTCCTCTGGCAACTGCAACGCGCCCTCGGGCGCGACGAAATACTCTAGCGGGTCACCTTGGTCTCGCTTCAGCCGCGCATGGGCCTTCTTAGCCCCGCGCGGCAAAGCCTTCGGGAGCCAGTCCTTGACAGCCTTAGCCGCGGAGCTCCTGGCCGCCTGCCAAGCTTTAGTGAGAGTGCAAGAGCACCGATCGATCAACTCCTAACATCGAGCGGGGTCGATGCTCGTTAAATCTAAAAGCTGAGCTCGCCACTCCGCAGCAGACTGATCAGCAGGTAAGCACGATGTATATCCATCAACACGCTGACCAAGGGCATAGAGACGCCGAGCCAATCCCATACACATATGATGATACCCGTGCTGTACTGCCACACGTAATTCATACAGCATCTGGGAAACCGTGGACCGAAACATAAGAACTGGCTCCGAGAAACTGCCCGACGTGTTGCGATGATCAGCAAGTGTGGTACGCCGTATGCTCATGTGTGTGCCACGCCCAGTATAACATTCATACTCATGCTCATGCTCGATGTACTCGTGCAACATACACATGTCTTCAGTAGCCCTGGACCATACCTGGTACGACGACGTCAGCTCACACGATAGGTGCTTGCAAACGTGAGGGACGAGATGAGGGCACCGATGATGCTCCGAGCGCCACCGAGACAGAGCGGCGCCAAGATAATGAGTCCATGGCAAACGCGGGCCTTCCACATGAGGAAAACTGCGCGGTTTCACCCTCTTGCACAGCTGCTGCAGCAGAGCGGAGTGAGGCAAGCGAATGTCCAGAGCACAGTGCGTTTTGAAAGGGGACGCGTGATACTTGGTTACCTTCAGGAAAGGCGACAGAGTCTCACTGGCCACAACATAATCAATCAGCGTACCCTTTCCCATACTGCATGTATAGCTCACACCCACCGGTGGTAGGGCTCTGCTCTGGGTCATCTTCAGGAACCCGCAAAGCTCCATCAGCTCAATGTCAAAATTGAAACCTCCAACTAGGAGCCACGGTATACTGAGAATTCACAAAGCTACTGATGTGCCTCATATTACGTATATTATCCCCCGAGACCCCCAGGTCAGCGACCATATAGACGACGCCTACAGCTATGGTGCACCTGAGAGTTTTCAACTCCAGAAACATCCAACCGTTGCCAGCTCCTACTTCACGGGTGGCACGATCATGCGCCAAGCAACGTTTAAAATACAAACCTTTGTGCACAGCGGCCCCGATCCCCCCATGGGCCCCACCCCCAGGGGAAGGGGTGGCAGGGAGGAAATGGGGCCGCCAGTTCATGGCGGCCACATGCCGCTTAGCATCCTTCAGCTCAGAGGGGAGCTGGCGGTGTTCACAAAACAGGAAGGCGTCAGCCTTGCAATGTAAGCCAGCAAGAAAAGACTTAGCCAGCGCACTCCAACGGGTTATATTACAATACAGAAGCCTCACTTGCCGCTCACTGTTAAAGCTCAGACTGTGGCATCTGCGTGACCGCAGCTTTGAACAGATC